CCTATCCAGTATTTCACAATAAAAAAAAAACAAAGATTCAAGAAAAGTTGCATCAGAATTTATTTCTCTTACTTTTTATCTTGGTAATCGTCTTGCAATCACCGCAACGACAGTCTTCACAGCCTGTCAATCAAATACTGCAATCAAACACTTCACTCCAGATTGGAGTTTACATTTGAAAAGTTGTAAACTAGCTTGTGCCTTTCTACACCTGTCAAACTGACTGTAGCCAGTGGTGCCATAGTATTAGGCCGCTCTTGACCAAATCATTTTCCCAGGTGATGTGGCTCCCACCTCTCAAAAGCTTTTCTCGTGAAAATGAAGATTTTGATATGAAAATGATTCCCACTAATCATGGATCATATTGCAATATCTGTCGTAATAGTTGCCACAGTAATACACTATTTTGATGAATGGATGAGGGTAGGTGTCTTTCAGGTGCTCATTATGTTGGAGTCCTTGTGATGGATTAAATATATGCTATCGTATTTATTATGTGTAATTTTAACTCTTCATTGTGTACCAGTATCTTACATTTGTAGAAAACAAATGTGGATACTTTGTGTAAAAGTTGGAGAATTCAGTGAGTTACAGGTGGTGAAGCAAAAAGTGTTACAACCAGACATTATATTTTCCTTCATTTCAGGGGGGAATAGTGCACTTTTTACTCATTTACTGGTTAGGCCTACTAGTTACTTTGCTGATTTAAGATTTCACATAAAGAAATGTTTTATCATCTTAGAAGATATGATGCACTGTTGTAGGTTAAACTATCCAACAGCACATAAGGTATATAGAATTGAAAATCTACCCAGACACAATATTAAAATTCCATTCACACAATAATATATCAGTTATGATATTAAAATAAAACTCAGGGGCCATTTCTCTAAGAATAATTTGACTTTTGGTACTTGATGTAGATTTTGCTGATAACACTTTCAATTAGCCTTTAATTTGTTATATGTTGTATAGAGCTGTTTGTGTCATTTTGCTGACTCAGACAGTAGCTAAGGCGGGAACACTTTCTCTATACCATTGGACAATTCCACAGAAACATGAGAGTGAAGACTCAGTTCTTAAATCAGTTATTTACACATAGTAAACACCAGGTGGCAGCGTAACTCGGTCCACGTGTATTGCATCAAGACAGTGGTTGCACTTGGTAGCCAGACCAGGGATGTGTCTCTTTGTGTTTGAGATGTTACAATTAAGTTATTGTTTAACCTTAAGGACTCACTTCCTCTAACATGTATGAAGTATGTCTCTGACATGTTATTCTCAGTTTTATTTGAGTCAAACTGCAATGACGTGATGTAAATTTCAGACTTTCATCAGGAAACATTGCAGCAGTGTGAGAAACCAATGTATTTATGGCATGAGTATCCTTTATTAATCATGATCTCAGATATGAAAGTGCCATTTGAATATCCACAGCAATCATTTATTAATGTTAGCATAATTTAGGAACTTGTAATCACATCTAATAATCTTTTAATCAGTGCAGGACTTTGCTGAGGAAGAAAAGAAAAACAAATGATAACATTAACAGTAAAAGCTGAATTTAGTGCATGCGTTGACAGATATAGCTCTTTGCTATGTGAAAGATGTTAGCATGTAACGCTAGCATCCTCCTGGTCACTCTCATGGTATTTTAGGGGGTGTCAGAGTATGGTGTTTTACATCCCCAGGGAGCAATAACACTTGTGTGAATTATTTATGTCGCCTTTCTCATCTGCATGGCTTTTCACTGAGTGCCGGTTGACTGGTCCCATTTTTAAACCTGCTACAGATTGTATGTATATATATTTTTTTTAGACAGGAGGAAAAGGTCAGAGGTCAGGTTGAGGGGGTTCCTGTGTCATGGAGGTCGTGGGGAAAAGGAGGACACCCCCTTGTATTGGATATTCTACAGACAATCCCCCAAAAACCATCCAAATTCCTCCACTGCATTGTGCCCCATATTCTTCAGGCAGCTGAGTGGGTGTTGTAGACTACATGAGGACTCTGCTGAGGTGGATCCCACCCTTTTTACCACCCACACATATGCTACTAGAGCAATAAAGGACAATGGAGAGTACTTGAAGTTAAGATGGGAGATGACTTGGGGAGCTGGCTATTGTTGGTGTTAAGCATTGTTACCCCAACATTGTTCCTGCTGAGGAAAAGATCTCCCAGCTTTAATGAAGGAACAGAAGAGACGAGAAGACGGGGGCCTCATCTGAATTTTATGGGACCAATGTTTTTTCTTTCTTTCTTTTTGGCTGGGATGAAATATTCCCAACATAGCAGACTGAGGGTTTCTCCACTGTGTAATTATGGGATGTGAAGTTACAGGATCTAAAGGCTGTGATCATTGCTCTGTCGACAAAAGAACACCAAATCACATTGGTGAAGCTTAAAGTTAGCTCAAACATGTCTCTTTGTGAATATGTCCAACTTATTTTAGATTCAGAACATAAGCTGATATCACAAAGTTTTGTAGATGTGATCCTTTTCATTTTTCCTTTATTTAACCTGGAAAAAGTCTCCCTGAATTCAAATCTCTTTTACAAGAGAGATCTAGCCAAGAAGACTTCATTAATCTGAACAACATAAACAGTCTTATTCTGTCTGAGTTACAAGTGATTATAGACTTGTAACCATCTGTGTAAAATAACACTGTTACCAAAACAGTCTAGTCTATTGGTATTTGTACATCTCAGTGGTAACAAGGCAAACTCCATCTGCTGAGGAATTTCTTGTGATATGATCAAATGCTCCAAAGCAGCTACTTAATGGCTTTTGTAGTGAGACTGTCAACAATAGTTTCCAAGGCCAAGAATTAATTTTTAATCTCAATATTTAAACCAACATGGATTAGAGGTGCTTGGAAGTGCTCAGAAAAATGGAAATATGAACACCTACAATGCCCTGGCAACTGGGCACACAAGGAAAATGCCATCTGCTGAGGAAGATCTTGTGATATGATCAAAAGCTCCAGAACAGCTACTGAATTGACCTTGTGGTGAGACTTTTTTGTCAAATTTGGTTTTCAAGTCCTTAACAAGTTGTTTTGCATGTGGTGTGTGTCCTCCTCGTACAATGCGATTGGCTGCAGTTGGATCTCTTGTCAGCAAAAATTGATGCTTGATCCCCTGCACACTTTTTTTTTTTTTTAATCTTGGGCTTAAGTCAAAGAGCTCAAGTCCAAATGAAGCCATAGGTCAACTATATTTTTAAATTTTGTGAAGTTTTGAGCCACCTCGACACGACTCCTTCACCTTTGTCTGGTACAATGTTAAATAAAGCGTTTGACTGCCTTTAGTGCACTTTAACCATATACCAGCACTGAAGAGGCCATCACGCAGTCGGGGGCATGTGTTTGACCTCAGGCCAGTCGCTGACAACAGATGTCCATCACTAATCAGTGTCATTAACTCGTCCTGAATTTAACCAGAGATGCTGGAGGTTTTGTCTGGTCCACTGAGGTGCTTAGTCAAGGAGATGAAGCGCACACTATGGACCAAACCGATCAATGTGTTACAAAGGAGGACAGGGGTGTTGTATGATTTTGACCTGGCGTTGTCTGGTCATGAGATGTTGGTGAACTTTGACACTTTGCTTGCCAGTGAGCATAAAGAATCTGTTCACACCAGACAATACATATACAAATCATGTCTCCACTTAATCATTGCCTGGTTCAATATGGTTCTATCATGGTTAGTGTTAAAATAATTGAATGTTTCAGGTCATTGGGTGCACATGGGTTTTACGAGGGTGCTGTTGTGGCCTGTAAACAAGAATTTAGGACCAAATACAGTAGTGTTTGTTTAATGTGTTTGCTGCTGAAGGGGCTTTTTCTCACTGTAAAGATTACTACTCACTTCACCACCACCTGCAGGATGAATCTCAACTGAGCGCTTGCTGTGTTCTTTTATGTAAAAATGCAGGTTATTCAAACATCCAGCACACACTCACCCTTCATTGTGAATTTTTTTTGTAGCTGTGTACTTATACTGTATATATACCTTGTCTGTGTCAGGATGCTGAATATGGAAATGAAGGATTACCTGTGCTGAATTCCTGTCTTTTGTAATACAAATGAAGAGTCTTGATACTGCAAATCAACAACTTCTCACAACTCAGTTGACTTCATGAAACTGCTCCACAACTGCTTTGTCTTCCTGTTCACGATAAATTCAGACATCAATAACTTTTAGTCAAAGCCCTGAATTAACTGAAACAAGGACTTCTGAGGTCTGCCAATTTTAATAGGATTAAGGGAAAAGAGGATCAGCTAAAAACTAATGTTTGCCATCAAGGTGGAGAGGTGTCAGCTTTGCCTCCAGATGAGGATCACAGTCTCCTGATGCAGCCGAGACTGAATCTAACTGCATTCTGGACTTGATCTTGAATGCATCATGCTGCTATATTGAAATATGAATTAGTCGCCATGTGTGATATATGTTAATTGTTCTGGTATATAATGGTAGAAGATGACTTATGTTGAAGTTGAAATTAAGTTTATCTATATGTGTAAATTCTTAATATACAGAGTAAAAAGCTCCAATGGTGTCAAATTTTAATGTGGTGGAGTTTAAATTACATTTCCCTCTCAAATGTGAAGAAGAAATAGAAAGTATACAGTATATCCAAATGGTAATACTTAACTAAAGTAGGCTACCTAAACATTTTACTCAGATAAACTAGGTTACAGTATGACTTGGCCCACTTGATTAAATGAGGGATTTGTAACAAAAATATCTTTTCTCCTTCTAATTGTACTACTACTGAGCAACAGATATAATATTGAAGATAAAATATATCTCAATTATCGTGACCATAATTGGTGTTGTAGACGGGGCGGGGCTGTGCGCCTCCCCCCGGCCCTGATGCAAACGAAGGGGCTTACCCGGATCGACCGCTGCAGATATTTCCGAGGCTCCTCCCTGCACTTTTTTATCGCCTTATAACAGGATATCGCACTGGCGCGAAAAACGCACTGTGTGGCTCTCTATTACACATTGTGGGGCGGATCTAGTGTCTGTTGTCTGAGCCCCGGCGTTTTTTCCATCCTTTTGTTTTTTAAACTGAACTAAAACAGAAGTATAACACCACATATTTTAAACCCAGTCACAGCTCGGACAGCTTTTTATCCGTCTGATCCCCGTGAACCGTGGACACTTTGCTCTTTGGCTGCTGCTCAGGGGCTTTGGATGCCCTGAATTTCGCACTGGGATTTACGGAGAAACCGGTGAGTAGTTTTACACTGGTACCTGCATGTTAAAGTTTCACATTAGGGAATAAGAGGTCTGTCTTTTGGGTTGAACCCACTCTGACACTGCATGAGTCCACTTTTTTTCATCGGTTCACCCTTGCTCAGTGGAACAAAGCGCAGCCTACATTCCAGGAAATGCAGCCTGATATTAGACTTTTACGCTGTATAGTATCGTAAAACTTAGTCTGCAGTCATCTCATGTGCTCTCGTTTCCATTCAGAACTTGCTGTGAATTATAGTCGACGCCTATATATAACTGGATTATGTAATAACCTTGTGTGCCTGGACTTCACTGCATAGAGAGCTTCCGCAAGATACAATCAATTATTAATGTGGTCCCATTTGTAGAAAGTAGGCTGTTAGAGGGATGTGATATCCTAATAGCCCTTGATGGATACTTGAAATGTGATCATTCATCTGATGGGAGCTACTTTTTAAAAGGATCATTGCTAATCACTGTGATATTTCCCCTCAGGTTGTACGGGACGTTCTTCAGAGGCCACTGGTGTCATTTGATCATTTCTGGGAATAAACTCTAGAGGATTTTATTAGCTAAAAATATGGAGTTCGACTGTTACCAGCACTATTTCTTCGATGATTTCGACACCGAGGAGGATTTTTACAAGTCAACCGCACCAAGCGAGGACATATGGAAAAAGTTCGAGCTGCTGCCCACCCCTCCCATGTCTCCCACCCGAACTCTTAGCGGTGCTGCCGTGCACCTCTCACCGGGAGACAAGCTCAGCTGGCTGTCCAAGGTGCTGGGTCAGGACGAGGAGTGTGAGGGTCAGTTCATCCCAGATACGGAGGAGCTTTTCGGCAACCTTAGCTCCATCATCATCCAGGATTGCATGTGGAGTAGTTTCTCCGCCAGTAAGCAGTTGGAGAAGGTCAATGGGAGACTGTCAGCTGCGGCGCAGACCGGTGCCTCCCCGCTGGCTCAGATCTCCGTGAGACCGAGCAAAGCGCAGTGCGTCTCGCCCACTGGCCCGCTCGCTGCTTCGGCGACAGACTGCGTCGACCCCGCGGCTGTTCTCACCTTCCCGGCAAACAGCTGCAGGAAGCCGGCGTCGTCTGGCTCCGAGTCTCGCTCTGATTCCTCTGGTAAGGAAGCAGTCATGCTCTAAATTGCCCCACCCTGCCCCTGCCTCAGGATTATATTGCCCTCTAACAATGCGTAATTTGGAAAGCTGGGCTGCTGTTGCATAACTGTGGTCTGTGGTGCAGCGGGGTTATCCAGCGCAACACAGGCAGACATCTAAAAAGCTGGATTTTCACTCTTGCTTTGACAATGTGCCACATGCTTGCTCTGAATACACATGCAGTCTTTTAAAAACCGCGCCCTCGTCACTTTTTCTCGACTTTCCCCCCTTTCGATATCTTCCACTGGCTCTGCATTACAATCGGAGTGCGGTAGAGGGGCGGGGTGACCCAGTCCTGATGATTTATTACTACTACACACACAGCAACAGACCGTGAGAGTAACTCTTTCACATTTCCCAAATTAGGGAAAGCCCCCTGCTAGCAGATCTCCTCATTTAAATTGTTGATGAATGCTCAATGACAAAAGCTTGAATTCCTGAATGCTTTGGCATGGATGACCACTGCTGTTAACACCTCAGCTCCTGCTCTGCCCTCCTCTGATAGAAGAACAGTGATCTGCATGCTTGGTTAAGGAATGCACTTCCTTATAGTCAGTTTAGTTAAAGTTTATTGAGCTCCACTGTGTTCTTAGGCAGGCATGTGAAGCTAATAAGTATTTTGTAAAGGATGTCATCGAAAAATCTTATTTGTAAACTCTGTGTTGCTGAATTATTTTTCTATGTGATGACAGATGATGAAGAGGAAATCGACGTGGTCACTGTGGAGAGCAAGCAGAACCGGATGCGACTGGTGAATGTCAGAAAACCGGTCACCGTCACAGTCCGGGCCGACCCCTGCCCCAAGCGCTTCCACATGTCTGTCCACCGGCAGCAGCACAATTACGCCGCCCGATCCCCAGACAGCGAGCCAGAACCTGAGGATGATGAGGAAGATGAGGAAGAGGAGGAGGAAGAGGAGGAGTATGAGGAAGAGCCTCAAAGCAAACGTGCCTGCATGGCATCCAATCAGCATCCAGGCTCTTCAGCTCGTGGGTCCCAGCCTGCCTCCCCCTCAGAGACTCCCCAAAACTCAGACACAGAGGACACAGACCGCAGAAGGAACCACAACTTCCTAGAGAGGAAGAGGAGGAACGACCTGCGGTCTCGTTTCCTCGCCCTACGGGATCAGATCCCCGGCCTGGAGTCGGCCAAAACTCCAAAGGTGGCCATCCTGACCCAGGCAACAGAGTACCTCATGGAGCTGCACACCAGGGAGAAACGGCAGCTCCAGGAGAAGAAGCGCCTCAAATCCAGACAGCAGCAGCTTCTCCGCAGATTAACTGAACTGAAGCGCTCTTGAGACTCAAAAAAAAGTGTGCTTTTGAAATGAACTGCCTCATTCACAGTCAAGAACTTTGCTAAGTTACCTGTCACTTTTGAAAAGCTACAGTTTTTTATATAACGACATGCCTCATGTAAATAGCCGTGAAATAAATTCTGTTTGTAATTCATATTGCTGTGGGCTTCCAATGAATTGACTGTGCTGGCCTGTGAACCTGTTAATGGGGAGGAGCAGTTAGATCCCAGTGTGCTGTGTTTTTTTTTTTTTTTTTTTTTTTTTTTTTTCCCACAGTGTTTTTAGTTTTGAACAGGGCGGGTAAATGAATTGAATTTTATAGCTATGACCAAGATATTTCCTGGTATGCTGTGATGGGAATTGAGACAAGTTGTTTGTTAATAGTTTACCAGTGTGATAGTGAACCTGTGTAGCCTTCAGGATGTGCGTGGAAGTTGGCTCAGAGGTCTTCATTGCACACTTACAATGGAGTGAAGTGTGAATGTCTTTCTGTGTACATAAGAGTGCATAAGTACATAAGTTTGTATGACTGATTGTTTGATGTACAAATTGTTATGTAAATAATAGCTTATCGCTCCTGGTGGAGGAGACAAAATCAAGAGCTGTCATCGGGTATTGCCCCTCTGTAATGTGCCACCAGGCACAGAGGAGCCTCTATTTTGTTAAGAAAATAGGAAAATGGACAAAAAAAGTAGCACTGCTGTACTTTATATTCACACGTCACTTTGTGATTTCAATGCTTCTCCTGATTTTGGTTGATTTTTTTTTTTTTTTTAAAGCATGCTAACATCAACAGCAACATAAAATTTTTATACCATGTTTGCATACAAACCTGAAGTCTTTGTGTTTATTCAAATGTTACACACTGCTATACACTGCTGCGACACAAGGTACTGTATTCCTCTATAGAAATGAATCTCACAACACCTTGACCTTGCCATCAACCTGAATTTATGCTCATCTCAAAATTACACAACTTCTATTAGTTTCTATGGCAACCTAAAGAAAACTTGCACCAAAGTGAAACCTTGATTTAAACATTGTAGTCAGAAGTGACAAATGACAGATCTTATCATGCCTTGCAGCGTGGGAAAGGTGCACCTCATGCTGCTGTGTGCCTCTCCAGAAACGCAACCTACTAGCACACAGAAATCAGCTGTAAATGAACGCAGATCGTTGCAAAATGAGCCAAGTGCTTAATGTTGCCGCCCTGTGTCACTTTGTGCTGTGTGTCAAATAAACGAGCACGTCTTGTGCACCAGCTGCTGGTCTGCAGAAGGTTAGACTGAGTTTGTCCTTGAGACTTGCCCTTGAGGAGAGTGTGTGTGATACCGTCGTGGATCCTCCCCTCTGCAGTGGCTGCTGCATGCTGGGCACCTGATGTGCTCTGAAGTAGGTTACACTCACACACGCACATACATACTATCGGTATCTTTAGAACAGTTCCCCTGGGTTTGGAGACAAAGGTTGTGTGAACTGCTACTTGGATTCAGTGCAGCTATTTACACAGGTATGCAGTCAGAGAGCAGCGCTGCGTCATGCAAGTGGCTGTAAAATTACCTGTAAATGGAAAAAGTGAAAATCTCAGTAATTTCTACATGTGTGTGTTTGAGACTACCATATTGTCCTGATTCATGAGGCTCGTATTTGTTGTGTGACAGCCCTTTTACCACCCTTTATTAATAGTTAGACCCCTTATGTGGAGCTGTTATCCCCCAGAGAGCTAGTTGTGAGAGAAGAGGAACACAGTCTTCTAAAGGCAGATTTCAAGATTTTAAGTTTTGATGGATGAAAGGTTTGGATTCAAAGGAATAATAAATCAAAGTATTCTTACACTGGATTGAAGAAAGACAACATTTTCATCAGGCATCATAAGTCAAAATTTGAGCGGGACAGCGTGTTTCTATCCACTTCCTTCGTGGGATTTATTCTGTATAAAACTGAGCTAAATGCCTAACATGAGGAAAATTCTTGCATATGTGTGATGCTGCTGCCCTATCAATGTCCTCATCGGCGAGTCTCTGCAAGTCTGGATGAGTCAGGTTTGAGCTCCAGTCATTTGTTTAATAAACTAAAAACAAGCATTTGGTTCAAGTACGGCCTGACAGACGAGCCAGGCACACCCTGAACTCCAACCGTCTCACACCTCGCTGGCCTTTGTTATGGTTGGGACTAGTTGGTGTTTCACCTGCCTGTGTTCACTCTCTAGGCCCCATTTTCAGCCCTGAGGGCACTATTCTCTGGCACAGTTGGATATTTCCTTTACAAAATCAGCAATTGATCTTTCGAGGCTCAGTTGAGAGAGAGATAAATGATTTTATCATGAAAAAAAGTTATATTTCTGCAGTACTGAGTGATTTTTAGTCGTCCTATTTTCTTGGTAATTTGAGAACAAACGGATCAGCCTTTCAGTTAATACAAACCTGTGTGAACTTGTGAAGTCTGCTTGTTGTAAACACCAATGACTCCTTTGATTAACATCAGCTGCAGCTGCTGTGTTGTTCGTATTTAAGGAAGTGAAAAGAAAAATCAGATATCAGGTCTTGGATCAGATAGGAGCAACCTGTCTGATACTTTTCCTGTTACCTCCCAACCACAAAATCTGAAGTGATCCTGCACAAGAGTAGGAAATAAGTAGTTCATTAAATAATGTAACCCAGGTTCAAAGACTTTTTCCAAGAGAAAAATTTACTGTTGTTGAAGTGGGTGGTTAATTTCAGGGCAATGCAACTAACCACCACCAGCATGCACAGGGTTGAGACCACAGTCTTTTTTTGGGGAGGCAAATGAAAAATACTGCTGGTGTTTGTGGGAAACATCAAATCTCAGGCTAATTTTTTTTTTTTTGAGAAACAAAAATAAACGTTTTTTTTTTTTAAAGAAATTGTGGTAGAATTGACTCAATTCACATACTGTGAGTGTTTGATTGGGATTAAAAGATGAAAAGACACCAAAGTTTCTCAGTGGTTCACCATAAACACTTAGTGGTTATAGTGCTCCTGTGTTTAAAAAGGCAGGGTTTTTCCTAAAGGAAACAATGAGGTAAGAGAATCTCTTTGTCCTGTGGGATGCTGTGTTCTGACGGTTAACTTGCCAGACCAGATTTTCTGCTCTCAAGTTCACGCAACACCCACACAGAGCATACTCTGAAGTGCATGTGTGATCACTTTCACACACATGCTCATGCTGCAGCTGTCTCCTTTTAGAGCATGTGTGTTTTATTCCCTCACATCTGCAAGCTGCATTTATTTGTGCAGGTAAAGAAAGCCCTTTAGTGCCAAACAGCTGCAACCTGTTGTGGTCCCCTATGCTGAGTATCTGGGGTGTGTGAGTGGAGATCTGCGAATGGCTGTGTCATAGAGATCTATGTATTCCTGGGGTAAAGGACAGCATGTGACCGCTCTACTGGTGGTAGGACAGAAGTGTGTGATGTGTGCGATCAGGGTGGGACTGTGGAGAATTGATGATTTGGCTGGGTGGAGAGTAGCCTCTCTCTGATTTATACATCTTCTGTCCTAACACACTCACACTTGTATAAAAACAATCTCATTGATCTTTCCTCTTCTTCTTGAGTGCATAAACTCATTCCCTCTGACACTAGGGGATATGGCCTTGATAGAGCACCTACTAGTTGGAATTAAGATTTTAATAGAGCATGCAGCTTTAGCGTGCATTGCTGCCTGGGAAATGCTTTGATTGAATAGTTAGCATGATTAATAGGATAATTGGATGAATAATTCAAATAATGTGTGGGTCAGAGTTGTGCAACTGGCTGGGCTAAGAAAGGACAGTTCCCTGGGAGCTTAAAACAGCACTGACACTTGCAGAAATTACACACTGATGAGTGTAATTCACTTAATTATATGTGTGATAAGCAACAAATTGTATAATCCCTGTGTTTGTGCATGTGTTGCCTTGGTCATACATCACCCTAGAACAATGGCTCAATCTGTAAAAACTTTTGCAGAGAAACACAAAAGCAGATGAGCACGTCTTATCTTTGGCAAGTCGCCCTGACAAGAAATGTTACCAGTCATACTTGCCACTCAGGCATTTCTTGCTGATAAAACCTCCACTGAGGTCAAACTAGTGCAGGTCTGCAGTTTGAAAAGTCAGTGTCAGTGAGATGGGCAGCTTACCTTAGCAGGCTTTTAATTGAGCAACTCATGAAGTGCATCTGTGTTTCTGGAAAGTGGGAGGATAAACTTTCGCAACTGTTAACATCCCCTAGCTGTCACTGTGATGAACCTCTTACCTCTGCACTTTAAAAGAGAAAAAAACACACAGACACACAGGCACATTGAGCAATATTTCCACCATGTTAACTGGTTGTGTTCTGACTGGCCTGGTTTGTATGGCGTGTGTATATTGCGTGTTTACACAGAGGGGCAGAGGAGGAAGCGGACCATAAACACACTGCGCTGGTTTGTGATTCTAAGAGCATGGTTGAACTGGCTGCTTATCCCTGACCTACATGTGGGGGAATATAGGCCATATAATACAGGCGGAAGAGAAACAGGCTTATCTTAGGATAACCTTATGATCTCCTGTGTGAGAATGAGCTGTAGTGGAATTGAATAATCTCCCATTAGGAGCAATATCGGGTGGTTACATGCGCTGTGGGAATCGTAGTCATCTGGAGAGAGGAGAAGTGGACTCATTGTCATCTCTCTCTTACTCAACACTCAACACACACCCTTCCCCTTATTCTGTTTTTCAAGAGGATGACGGTCAAGGAAGATGGGGAGAACACAAGCGGGAACAGACACAGATACTCACATCTGCTTGTGAGGGCACACACACACACACACACACACACACACACACACACACACACACACACACACACACACACACACACACATACTTGCAGAAACTTTCCCCGGTTGCAGTCCTCCATCTCTCTGCCTACTGACCCACATTCCAGCCTGGTTGTGTCACTGGAGCTCAGCCGGGGCTGTGGCGGCCACTGTCCATCTGATCCTAATGAGGCTGTGAGCCCACCACAGACAAACCACATGAATATGCTGGCATGCAAGAAATCGTACTCTTTTACTCCCTGTTTTCCTGTTTTGCTGTCTTTCCTACTGTCCTCTTGTTTCCCTGTCTTTCTCTCTATCCCTTCTCTTCTCTGGCCGTCCCCCTCAGAATCAGTCTGCTGGCTCCTGCCCTCCCCTCAGGTACTTATCTCCAGCATTTGCTGATCTAGGTCAGTCTTCTGAGCTCAGTTTCTCTGCCTCTCTGTGTTGCTCACCCTCCCCATCCTAAGGCCAGGGTTACATAACAGTGATGATTCAATTGGAACAGGCTGTATATGTTCCTCGCTCTCTGGATACATGTGGCCCCAGCTGACTGGTGTCAACCCTGTGTTTTGCTTTAAACCTCAGCCAGTCCAACTAAGTGGCCTGCCTTGAAAACCAAATAAACACACTAAGTGTCATTTGGTTCTGTGCAGCACCTGTTGTCCAGCACAAAGGAATCTGTTGTGTTGTTGTTGTTGTTTGTTTTTTTTGTAGTTGCCCCTTTCAACAAGCACCTTCTTTACCCTTTCTGGCCAACAGCAATCTTGTCTGCTGTAGGTTAGTAGTATCTGAGATAAATTTGGGAGGGTTAGCATGGGCCCAGGCGGCCATGTCGTGTCAGCAGAGCAGGCCTTTCAACTCGCCTGTCTAATCTGGAGCTAATCCTAATCCCGTTAGTGTAAACACTGCTGCCATCTGGGCCCAGACACACCACAGCTCTGATTATAATGAACCCATCAAAAGGTCTTCAAACCATCACACTGCATGAGCTGTCAGTGACTCACGCTAAACTCTCTG